CTGAGGCTGAATCACCTGCAGCTCCTCACCTGCCCCTCCTGGAGGGAAGCACAGAGCAGGCATTTATTCACCATCTGGGAGCCTGTGGGCTCGGTCAGTATTTATCAACAACAGCTTTCATCGACCGAGTGCACACCCTGAGCGGGCCTTGAGCCCAGCACATTGCATGTGTCATACATGTAACCCTCACAACCAACCTGTAATGTGAGAGCCTATAACAAATGAGGAAACTGAGGCACAGAGAGGTAGCAAAGAGTGGGTTTATGTTTTTCCCCCACCATGTGGTTCTACTTGGTGCCAGCATTGGAGGGGGTGCACTGGGCCTTTTCCTGCAAAGGTTGGCTGCCCAACTCAGCTGACTGGCTGCTGGCGGTATCATCAAGCCAGCCCGAGGAGTTCATCTTTGCCAGGGACGCTAATGCAGCAATGGCTGGTCGTCTGTTGATGAGGAAGTTAGCTGCAGAGAAACCAAATATCCCTTGGAATAATATTCATTTGCAAAGCACTGCATAAGGAAAACTATCTCTTGCAAAAGACTCATCAAATCCTTACCTAGTTTCATCCTAAACGTCTCTTATTATAGTGACTGTGCGGTAGTTGCTGCTGAACCTGAGCTACAAGTTGGAATTGAATCAGGTCCTGCTTCAACTTCAGAATGCCTTCTGAGTATGAAAGAAAAGTTTACCAACAAGGAACGGGAAGCAATCAGAAGCTTCAAGGACAAATGGACTCGCCTGCATATGCTCTATGGGCATCGGGCCCTGAAAGAAAGCTTCATAGAAGCCATAGGTGCTGGACTAGGGTTTGAATCATAATGGCTTGAATGTCCTCATTAAATTTGGAAGTGGCCAGGTTTATAAAGAAACATGTTTGTTTCTGGATGGAGAAGACGGAAAAGAATGGGCGTTTGAAGAGAGCCAAGCAGATGAGCACTATTCGTGGCAGTTAGCTCCTAGGAAACCCGATGCATCTAGACATCAGATGCTTCATCTCAAGATGATCCCACACCCCCAGAGGCAGGTCCTGTCCTTCCCTACAGGACTTAGTATCACCTGCGGTTCCTATGAGCCCTCATCATCCTTCATGTTGGGACTGTTTTTCTTCCCAGAAGAAGTTCTGATGGGAAATGCTACAAAGTCATGAAAGGTAAGAAAGGGAAATGAAACTGTAATATTCAGTGCTCACTAAAAAATAAAATGCCTATTACTATCCAATTTCATTTCATAAAACAGCTTGAAAAAGAAAAACACAACTTTCCCTAGTAAGAGAGCATACTCCCAGTTCAAGAAAGCTTAGTAGAATACATGTTTACCTTTCTTCCTCCCCAGAATCACTCTGAATTGTCAGAGAAATGGAACAGGGTGGCAGAGTCTTAGCTGATCCAGGCATTGCTCATTTTATTTCCATTTGCTTTATTGCGCTTCACTTTATTTGCGCTTTCACAGGAGTTGGCGGTTTTACAAATGGAAAACAAGAAGACCCTCCCCCACCAGGGAAAGCAGTGGGTGGAGGGTGGGAGGTCATTGATTCACCAGGGAACCTGTATGCATTGTGCATAACCATGGACACAGGCAATAGAGTGGTGAGGGCCTGGGCTGGGTGGGCATGGGTGAAGGAGATCAATGGGGAAAAACACACATACACACTCACACACACAAAGGGGACATCTGGAATACTTTCAACAATAAAGGTAATTCTTTTAAAAAGACCCTCCACCAGCAAAAAGATTAGGACTCATTTTATCACAGAAGACTGGAACTGAGCCCGCAATATCTCTGAAGCAGGCCTTACATTCTTGTTGTAGAAAAAATCCACAGAAAATGAAAAGATGCCATAAGGAGGCATTAACTTGTTGTCTTTCAGACACAACTACATCAGAGATAACGATTTCTAAAACATTTTCCTTGGAAAATGAATCCTCTTTTTATTAAAATGGGAACATTCTTTTCTCTGAGCTGCACATCCGGTGTTAATGAATAATTTGTGGCATAACTTTCACTGGCTGTAAAGTGCTCTGTTGCGGGGCTAATGTCAGGTAGGATGCTTGGAGCAGAGGTAAGTGTGCAAACAGCTGAGGGAAGTAACCAAGGGCATTAATGGTCTCACCCAGCACCCAGCTCAGAGGTGTCACTGAGGACACGTTCTTGCCTCAGCCTCAGTTTGTTTTGCCTCAGGCCTGTCTCAGGGTCAGGAAGCTGCTGCTGTAACTGTCAGCTTCCCATCTTCACAGAATTGCATCCAAGAGTCAGGACAGGCCATTTCTCCTCTCCCATCTCAGATTTGTCAGGGAGGAGAGCATTTCCCGCAGCCAGGGCCAATCGCTGCCCAGCCCCGGGCAAGAGCCTTTTATTCCTCCTCCGCAACCCCCCACTCCATCTTCCCAGCGCTCTCGGGCCAGTTGGGCAGAGGCTTACCAGGTCCTTTCTCCTGCGGGCGCCCTGGCTGAAAGCCTGCAACCCACGCAGTGCCCTGGTGCTGGGCGCCTGGAGGGCTGGGGAGCCTGCGCTGTCACAGCGGGTCCTGGCGACACACACACACACACGTGTGCACACGCTCTCTGCCTCTGTGCACAGTCATGGGCACTGAGTGTGTTGATCTCACACCCCCGGCCCGCGAGTATTTTTCTGGAGACGGATCTAGAAGCAGTTGGCTTCAGGGGACCCCATGTTAGTAATTTACAGGGAAAAGGAGGAATTTTTCATAGAAATCTCGCTTGCTCTGCCCTTGTTAAAGAGGGGCTGGCAGTGGCCTTTGTCCTCTCGACATGCAGGGCTCTCTTGTCCTATCCGGGCCAAAAAGATCTTTCTGGATGCCCCCTAACCCTCCCTTTTTTCTTTAAAGATGTCGGTTAATACCTTAGAGAGTCAGATGTAAGTGGCTTAAAGGGCAGACAAGAGAATTCTATTCTATAAGTATGCATTTCAAATTAAACATGTGAGGTGCCTTATTTGCAATTCTGTTGAATATTGTATATTTTTATCTGACATGGATGATTTCCAGGGGAGGCGAATTTTGGTTAGTTTACCGACTGATTCTGCCTCCTGACTTGGAAATACATCAAACTCTCCCACTAGTCGTTCAAAGACTATCTTCCCTACTAGGTTCTTGGGTTCAAAGGCATTTTAAGAATTACCTCCTGTTCAGCATTTAAGACTCCAAGTATCATCTGTTTTGTTGCCTCTGGTAACCAGGTGCAGGCGATGGTACCACGCAGAAAACACTCAGATCCCTGACTTCATGTGCTCAGGTAAAGCCCTGTCCTTGGCCTTGTGTGCAGCCCTGGGTGACACACCCATGTTTCCCTGGAGGCCCTGAAACTTCAGGGGCAAAAAGAAGTCCAGGGGCAGGTAGAGAATATTCTACCCCAAGGAGTGCTCACCTGGGAGGCCCAGCAGTAGAGTCAGCAGCAGGCAAGGAGGAGGGCGGGGCCAGGAGGCAGGGACGGGCATCCTGGAGGCCTGAGTGGCCAGCTGTGTCCAAGTGTGTGCCCGGAGGACCCGGACTCTCTGCTCTGTGAGAGGAGTGAGGCCCCAGCTGTGTGATATAAGAGGAAGTGCCTAGGACGGGGTGCAAGTCTGTGACACAGTAGCCAGCCTCTATATTCTAAATAGTTCCTGCCTCTATATTCTAAATAGTTCCTGATTGTGAAATAGTCAGTCAGGGAAGCAACCACAGGGTGAGCAGTTACTCAACTTAGTTTTCAGAGGGACTTGGACAGGCCTCCAGGGAGTAGTGCTCCCCCCACCCCCATTCCTGGGGCCTCTGCTCTCCACTGGCCCCTCAGCTCACCTGAGGTTCATGGTGATGCCCCCCTTGGGGCCCAGGACAAGAAGGGTGTGCGGTGTGGACTGTGTGCCAAACTCCCAAGCCCAGGATCCTACTCAGCTGGAGGATGGAAGAGGGTTCACCAGAGCCTGGTCAGCGTTCGGATGGAACCAGGTCCTAAATGACCACTTACTGATGGAACTGGTAAAACTCTATGCAAAAGCACAGTGTGGTGTGCACCTCAGAACTGGTATGTGCCTCCTTGCAACAAAAGACATAATTTCCTCACATCTTTCCGGAAAGCACATGTATTATATGACCACATTTATACATCCAGGCATGTATCTCAGAGAAATGCAATTTATGTCCACTCCAAACGCTGTGAGCAAAATAAATCCTACTTTAGGATTTTCTATTTTAGCAACTTTCAAATATACAACCCAGTATTGCTAACTGTAGTCAACATGTTGGATATTATATCCTCAAAACGTATTTATCTTATAACTAGAAGCTTGTTCATTTGACCACCTTGACTTATTCCCCCACTGAATGTGCAGCCTCTCACATCCACCAATCTTTTCTCTGTCTGTGAGTTTCCCCCCAACCCCCAGTTTCCACAAATAACTGAAATCATACAGTATTTCTTTCTCTGCCTGATTTATCACATTGCATAATGACCTGAAATTCCATTTATGTTGTTGCAAATGGCAGCATTTCCTTGTTTCTCTGGGTGAATAATATTCCATTACCTATATACATTTTCTTATGCATTCACTCACTGATGGGCACTTACATACTTGCTTGACTTGTATATTGTAAATAATGGTGCAATGAACATGGGGTTGCAGATTCCTCTTCATGGTAGTGATTTCATTTTCTTTGGATGTAGACCTGGGGGTGGAATGGCTGGGTCATATGAAGGTTTTATTAATTTTTTGAGGCTTCTCTATATTGTTTTCCATGGTGGCTGCACCAAACCTCTAATTGAATGAATTTCATGTCTTTTTTTTTTTTTAGTTTCTGGACCCTCTTTTCTGCTTCATCTAATCTGCTGTTGAACCCTTCTATTGAATTCTCCAGTTCAGTGATTGATTTTTGTTTGGTACATTCTCATATATTTTTTAAAAATATATTTTATTATTGATAGCATTACAGATAGCTCCCATTTCCCCTCCTATTCCCCCCACCCACCCCCGCAAGCACTTACCCACCCACCCCAGGTCTTTATTACCCTACTGCCTGTGTCCATGGGCCATGCATGTAACTATATAAGATCTTTATTCTCATATTTTGTATCTCTGTTGAAATTCTCACATTGTGCAGCCTTGTTCTCCTAGAGAGGTGAACAAGGTGAGCATCGTTATGAGCACTTATAAAACTACCAGGTAAACATTAAGGCGTATTTCAGGAGTTTTATTTTATGCTTTGGGGTGGTGTTTGGTTCACATTCCTCCATGTCCTCATGGTCCTTGACTCTCCCTGTTGGTTTCTGTGCGTGAGATAAAAGAGGCGCCTCTTCCCATCTTGGTGGCGAGATCTGTTGCAGAAGACGAGCCTTGTCACTCAACCCTGTTCTAGCACTTGGCTGTCTCTCCAAACTTCGTGATTATCCAAACTGCCTTCTTTGTTCTCTGTTGCTCCCAATAGCTGAGGTGCCATTTCAGTGTCTGGAGGGGAGGAATTCAGTCTGCAAGTCTCATGGGAAGCTGGATCCTCAGGCAGCAGCGGTTAAGTATGAATGTAGACCTCTATCAGGAAAGGCTGGGAGGTGGGAGCTAAGCTCTTGGGAATAGCCAGGGAAGAACTGGCTTTTTGTTTTCTACAATCCCGTGGGCCCCACTAACACAAGCCCCACTGGCCGCCAGAGCCAGGCGATCAAGGGGAGTGTCCCCTGAGCAGCAGCTGCAAGTCAGGGCTCTCACCCTGTGCCCAAGCTGCTCTCAGGGAGGCACCAGCCACCTGGGTGCCGCAGAGGGAGCATGTGCACATGACACCCTCTCAGCTCCCTGGCTCTGGAGAGGATGGTTGGGGCCCCTGACGTGTGTTAGATGAGAAGCTGACCCTCAGCTGCAGCCTTTATGAGAAGCAAATAGGCCTCTTTCAGGGAAAGACTGGGCCCTGGGCATTTGTCTTTGCTGCCTCGTGTTGAGACCTGGGGGGTTAGCGACAGGGAGTCCTCACAGGCCACTGAGAACTGCTGCTTTGCTGTCGTCCTTGGACCTTGTGGACTCAAGTCCTGTAGCTTTCAGACATACTTTATTTGGAGGCTCATCCCTCATGGGGAAGTTTAAAATTTGGGGTGCTCAATGTTGGGTCTGAATCCTACTCCTCAAGGAGAAGCTGGGAGTTGTGTGTCACCCCCAATTATATGTCACTGTGCCAGGTGTGGGGTTTATGGAGAGATTGGGTCAGGTAACAGCCTGAGGTTGTCTCATCTTTTTTATTTGCTTAAGATGTGATTTTGATGTGTGTGTCCAAGGTCTGGGAATTGCTCAGCTGGTTTCTTTCTCAGGGATTGTGCATTTAGTAGCTGCAGTTTCAGTAAGTTTGTGGGCAAAGGTGAGGTCAGGTGTCTCCTAAGTCAATATATAGAACCAGATTGGTTTTGCTTTAAAAAAAAAAAAGGACCTTGTTTTTCTCAGGTCATGATGTAGCAACACAATCAGTGAGTTCGATGCCCAACTCACAGAGAAGCCTCATCTGAGGCAAGATCGTTTCATAGAGAAAAGATGTATTCGTCCAGCTGCCAAACCAGGAGACAGAGACAGGACTCAGATCCGTCTCCTCCCTCGCCCTGGACTACAGACTCCGAGCACATTTAATGAGAGGGAGAAATGTACATATGTGTTCATTATCATCAGGGGTCTTGATTGGACCATGTTGAAACTAAGTCACCTAAGGGAAGGAATGGGAAAGGTGATAGAAGGTATAAAGGCGTTCCTAGAGGGTGGGGTCAGATTGGGTGAGATCTAGGTGCCCAGCCAAGTGAAAACTTCTGAGCCCCCTGCATCTGCGCACAGGTTCTGGCAAAGGGCAAATTTTGGTTTCGGCCATCCATTGGGGTTGGTGGAGTCATTAATTGGCTTTCTGCATCTTTGCATGGCTCTGTGACCAGTCTGACCCGGTGGTCCATAGGCACTGTGGGGGGTCTTGCTGTTCTCTTCTGAAAACAATAAGAACAACAACTGTTAGGTGTGGTTTAGCATTAGGGATTGGTTTTCATTACATTAGGGTTTGTTCCAGTTTCTGCCCATGCTAGCAAGCGTGTGCCCAACTCTGAAGCAAATGTGGATCTTCCTTCTTCCAATAGATTAGTGGATCCAGGTGCCGGGCTACAAGTGGGGTAATTTTCCCCAGAAAAGTCTGAGAACGTGTTCAGGCAGCCTGGCCCCTGGAAAAGCTTTCGATGTGATTACTTCACCGAGCTGGAATACATGGAGGGTGAAAGTTCTTCAATGAGCAAAGGAAGAAAAGGGTCTGTATCACACACAGTCTTGTTCCAGACCCTGTGTGCGCTCATAGACTGCTCACTCCTATCAAGCCCCACAATTCTTTGGGGTAGCATGATTTCCATCTTACAGGGGAGGAAATTGGCTCAGAGAGTGTTAGTGAGTTGCTCAAGCTCACGTAGCTGGTATGTGTTTTCTAGTATCTGAACCCACGCTTCTATGCCTATAAGACCTCAGAGCGGAACTTCTCCCCTGCGATTTGTCTATAGGACTTTGAGCACATCTCACTCAGTGTCTGGTGAGTGATTGTGTGGTCTTAATGGGTTGTCTGGTCCAGAGATTCTACACTTAGTCATTCCAGGTAAAAAAATTTTTATAAAACAATTATATACTATATTTATTAAGAAAAATAATTTTCAGCCCCGGCCAGTATTTCTCAGTGGTTAGAGTGTTGGCCTGAGCACCGAAGGGTCTTGGGTTCTATTTCTGGTCAAATACATGTACCTGGGCTTCAGATTTAATCCCTAGCCCTGAGTGGGGCTTGAGGCAACCAATTGGTGTGTCTCTCTCACCTCTCTCTCTCTCTCTCTCTCTCTCTCTCTCTCTCCCTTCCTCCTTTTTTGTTCTTTCACTCTCTCTAAAAAAAAATCAATGAACAAAATATCCTCTGGTGAGGATTAACAAAAAAAAAAAAAAAAAGAAAAGAAAAAGAAAGAAAAATAATTTTCATATCAGCTACCAGTTAGTGTAAAGGCCATTCCACAGAAGAAAGCGTATTTTAATACCAAGAAAACAGAAAGAAAATACTTAATTTCTTTATTTATTCAAGCTATATTGAGTACCTATTATGAAAAATTACTTAATATCTCTATACATAATACTAAACAGTGGTAAGTTGGAATTGTGTGTGTGTATGTGTGTGTGTGTGTGTGTGTGTGCGTGTGTGTTTTAAGAGGAACTTTTTTTTACAATACATGAAAAAAAACCATACTGAGAAAATCTACTGAGATAGGCATGAAGAGTGAGAGTGTGTGGCATTTGAATGAAGATCCTCTTGCCTCTTCTTCCTTCAGCTCAACAAGAACAACCTCAGACTGGTACAGCCAGGACACAGGGCTGCCCCCTGCCCCAGTTGAAATATTTCAGGAATCCTCAACTTACCTGAAAGCACTGTACCTTAGCTACATAACATCCTTAAAGGGCAACCACAAAGAGTTCTTAAAGGCACACCCATTATTTAACCAATGGCAAAGTTAATGTGAGTAGGAAACTATCCAGTTGCAGAACTTGGCCATAGTATTGCTTTCTCTTCCTCCAGCTTCCAGGTCAGTGGTGACTCCTGAAGGTCTGATTGCACTTGAGGTCACCGTCTCTTCACTGCCTTCAATTCCTAGCATCCCGTCTCCCACTCCTATCCCATCTAAGTCATGTGTATGGGATAACGGAGCTGCGATAATTTGGGTTCTGTCTGTGTGTCTGAGGGGAGCCTGTGTGAAGACCCAGCTCTGGGGCATCAAGGACCACGAGAAGGAGCAGGAGCCTGTGGGCAGCCGTTCTGGGTCGGGGGAGGCATTTGGAGCAGAGTCCATAGAAGCTTCTAGTCAACTTGTTTTCTTGGGCTGGGCCCTTCGTGGAAAAAGGAGGCAGCAGCGCTGAGAGTGGCACATAACAGGGGAGAAAGGAAGGAGCTGTGGGAAATGTGTCCGCCTTTAATTACCTGCTCATCGTTCCAGGAAAGTCCCTGCGTGTCTCCTATGTCCTGGGCTGTCTTCCTCAAGAATGCTGGTCATTAGAGCACACGCGGCCCCTGGCATTGGACTCTGCCCCTGGTCCTCCTCCCAGGTCCTGGTCCTCCTCCCCCATCCCTCCCCTCTGTCACACAGAGCGTCAGACTGAGAATAGCCATCAGAGGAGCTGACCGGGGCTTCTCAACATTACTGTGAATGTGGGTTCCTTCTGCCCAAGGAGCCCCGGCCATCAATTCAACTAGACATGGTCTCCCAGGGAACCGCCCACCCAGCTGGCCTCATTCAGTTTCCTCTGCCCACTTCTTCTGCAGGTGCCCTGAGACTCTGTGAACACCTTTCAAAACCACCGAGTCAGCCTCCTTCTACAGGACGCCACACATTTCCTGGGAGGTAGGAATCTCTTAAAGGCACCTGCAAGTCTCCTGCCAGTATTAATAGAGAGGTGTCACCTTGTCTAAATTCCACCTGGGCCCTCACCGTGTGTACCCTGTGGGCTGACCGCTCCTGTTGACCTGCTCCTCTGGGACAGACGTTAGCCTTCCCTCCCTGTCCTACAACTTACAGTCGGGCTCTCCGCTGCCTGTGGACATAGATGGCAGAGACACCAGCCATCAGCAGCACCTTGCAGCCCAGGAGGCTGAGGAGCACAGCCAAGAAGACCTGAGTAGATAGTCCTGGGCCTGCAAATCAAGGGACAGGGGAAGCCATTAGAGGAGACCATTCCAGAGTCTTCTACTCACTCCATCGGAGGCTACCTGCACCCGCGACCACTCTGAACCCATGGGCTCCCGCTTGAGGCAGCAATCAGGTAAAGAGGTTCTTTATCTTCAGTGACCCCGTGAGTAGGCTGCTGGAGTCGTCCTCCTTGAGGGCGGTGGTGGGCGGAATGTGTACTCAGTGACCCATAGTGTGGCGCCTGATGTACTGACTTGGTCCTCACACCCTATGGGGCAGGTAGTATTATTCTCATTCTGATGAGGAAACTGAGGCTCAGAGAGTTAACAAGGGCTCAGATTAGTGCAGATTCAAAGCTGGAAAAATACATCCTTTTTTTCCATCGAATGACACTGAGCCTTTTTGTTATTGATGAGGACAAGTCCAACCCAGTGGTCGGCAAACTGCAGCTGGCGAGCCTCAGGCGGCTCTGTAGCCCCTTGAGTGTGGCTCTTCCACAAAATACCACGTGCGGGCATGCATGTACAGTGAGACTGAAACTTTGTGGACCATGCGCAGAAGTTGGGTGACCCCAGGTTCTCAGTTTTCTGCCTGCAAGGCTCACCCATTACCCACAAGGCTCACCCACTGCCCTCAAGGCTCACCCACTGCCCCCAAGGCTCACCCACTGTCCCCAAGGCTCACCCACTGCCCCCAAGGCTCACTCACTGCTCACAAGGCTCACCCGTACCTACAAGGCTCACCCGCTGCCCGCTAGACTCTAACCCATGGAGACATAGTAATGAAAGGGAACAGGGAATCTGAGAGGAATAGCGACAGGCTTCTCAGTGAGAGGGTCACAGGGCAGACCTGGATGGCGCCACAGACAAGGCTGGGTGACCCCATGTTCTCAGGAGCTGAGGGAGAACCCAAGTGGCCTGGCCTCATGAGACCAGCTGCCTCAAAAGCTCCTGGTGGGTCAAGGAAATGGGGCCACAAGCTTGGGAGAGACTCCACCGCCACCCTGCCCACCCTGAACCAGTCCCCATGTCAGCTGATATCCTTCTCTTGGACACAGAAATGCAGATCTGCAGGTTTACAACAAGAAGTTTTTGTTTTTAAAATTAAAAAATAGTGTATTACAATTTCTCATAAATAAATAATCCTTGAAATGGCACTGGAGGCTGCGCCATATTTCCTGTGGGGTGTTGGAGAATGGCAATCCTCAACTGAGAGGCTCTCTGGGACACTCCTCAGTGGACGGGAGTTATTGCCATGTTTGCATCCCCTCCTAGCAGGCAGACCGTGGCACAGGACTGGCTGGACTGGGAGCCTACAGGCTCAGCACCCTCCCCTCTATTTGCACAGCTCTCACAGCCTATTCTTCTGGCCAGTTCTCTGTAGAGTGGCCAAGTCTGGTGCCTGCCTCAGAGTTCAGCAGCTCCCTCTGCCAGTCCTGCTCCTTCACACCCTCAGCATGTGGGTCCTCACAGCTGCCCACAATAAGCTTCCCACATTCTCATAGCCCTTTGGGTCTGCTTCCCAGGGAAACTGACCTATGGAGTTTGACTGGGAGTGATCAGAAAAGCAAACTGGAACACTCTCCTATACCACACACAAATATAAACTCAAAGTGTGTAAAATACTCAAATACACTGTACATCATGAAACTCCTAGAGGAAACATTGGAAGCGAGCCCTCTGTCATCAGTCGGAGTATTATCTTTTTGGACACCGCCCCTCAAGCAGGGGAAACAAAAGAAAGAATGGGCCAATGGGACTGCAGCAAACTAAAAGGCTTCTGCAGAGGAAAGGAAGCCTTCAGCAAAACAAAAAGGCAACCTACTGACTTGGACAATATATTCACAAATGACACATCTGATAAGGGTTTAATATCCAAAATATATAAGAAACTCATACAACTCAACAAAAAAAATATTTTAAAAATCCGATCTAAAAATGAGCAGAAGTTGCCCTAACCGGTTTGGCTCAATATATAGAGCGTCGGCCTGTGGATTCACGGGTCCCAGGTTCGATTCCGGTCAAGGGCATGTACCTTGTTCGTGGGCACATACCCAGTAGGGAGTGTGCAGGAGGCAGCTGATTGATGTTTCTCTCTCATCGATGTTTCTAACTCTCTATCCCTCTGCCTTCCTCTCTGCAAAAAAACCAATCAAATATATTAAAAAAATAAAAATGGGCAGAAGCCATGAAAACACATTTATCCAAAGAGGACATACAAATGGCCAATGGACATATGAAAAGATGTTCAACATCACTAGTCATCAGGGAAATACAAATAAAAAGCACAATGAGATACCAACTCACCCGAGTCAGAATGGCTATTATAAAAAATAAACAATAACGTGTGCTGGAGAGGATGTGGGGAAAAGGGGATCCTTGTACTTGTTGTTGGGACTGCAAACTGGTGCTGCCCCCAAATTAAAAACAGATATGCCATATGACCCCGCAATTCCACTTCTGGGTGTTTATCCAATGAAAACAAGAACACTAATTTGAAAACATACATGTACCACTATGTTCATTACAGCATTTTATTTACAATAGCCACAATGTGGCAGGATAAATTAATGTATTAAGAAGATGTGATATATATTCTCTCCCCCTCTCTCTCTCTCTTTCTCTGTATATATACACATACACATATGTGTGTGTGTGTACATATATGAAATCTTGCCATTTTCTACAGCTGAGATGGATCTAGAGCAGCGGTTCTCAACCTGTGGGTCGCGACCCATTGGCGGTCGAATGACCCTTTCACAGGGGTCGCCTAAGACATCCTGCATATCAGATATTTACATTACGATTCATAACAGTAGCAACATTACAGTTATGAAGTAGCAATGAAAATAATTTTATGGTTGGGTCACAACATGAGGAACTGTATTTAAAGGGCCAGAAGGTTGAGAACCACTGATCTAGAGGCTATTATAAGTAAAATAAGTCGCATAAAGAAAGACAAATATCACATAATTTCATTTATATATGTAATCAAAAAACAAAACAGACTCATAGAAACAGAGACCAAAGGGAAGGTTACCAGAAAGGAATGGTTGGGGGGGGGGGGGATGGTTGAAAGAAGTGAAGGGGAATAAATATTGTGATAAGTTTTCACGGTGACAGATAATTACTAGAATTAGTGGAGTGACTACTATGTAAGGTACAAAAATGTTGAATCACTATAATATGCACCTGAAACAAATATAACCAATATAATGCTGTATATCAGTTTTACTTAACTTTTTAAAATATGTTTTTTATAGATTTCAGAGGAGGGGAGAGGGAGAAATGTCAATGATGAGAGAGAATCATTGATTGGCTGCCTCTTGCATGAAAACACATTTATCCAACTTAGGATCAAGCCCGCAACCCAGGCATGTACCCTTGGCCAGAATTGAACCCAGGATCTTTCCGTCCATAGGCCCACCCTCTATCCACTGACCCAAACCAGTTAGGGCTATACTTAACTAAAAAAATCTATTAGGTAAGAGGGGAAAAAAAACTTTTAGAGAAGACTTTGGTAAAATTGGTGAATCCATAAATATTTTTACAAAGATGGTGCTCTTTATAATGTGCAAAATTAAAGTGTGAAAAGAAAATTATTATATTACACCATCAAACAATTTTGTCAGGAAAAAAATGATTTCAGGAAAGATACTGATTATTCCTTATTAATTCTTAGAGAACCCATACCGTTGTGTATACATTGTTGAATATAACATTTTCACAATTTAAAAAACTCTAAAATGCAAACTAGAAAACCGATCACTCATCAGCACTGGTGGGCGGTGGAGCAGGGTCGGCCCCAGGTGGCCCTCATGGTGCCATTGTTAACATTTTCACTGGTGGTGAACTGGGATGGTATAACAGGAGGAAAGGAATACTAGGGCATTAAGAATTTTAAAAGGAGTGAGCAAATGGTCATTATACAACTATAAGATTGGATCGCTGTTGCTGGGACATCAGTAATTTGGAGAAAAACAATGAGAAGCTAAGCGCGATTAATTACAAGGTAAAAGTTAAGTGTGAGCCACCAGAGTTCTTGATGGCATTGCAGATTCTTTTCTTCAAGAGGCAGAGGGCAGAAAAAGCTGAGATGTGGGCCAAGGACATAATTCTAGGCATAGCAGAGCTAGAGAGGAGGTTGGGTTCTCCAGGTCAATGGGCCTGCTCAGCAAGGGTGACGCCTGATGAAGAAAGAAGGGACCCTGAGAGAGGGACCTATGGGCTATTGCGCTCACAATCTTCTGTCCCCTTCTGGCTGCTGAGGACAATGGCAGCAGCACAGCTACTGGTCTCCAAATAGGGCCTCTCCAAACCCAAGGAAAAACACAAAAGGGAAATTAAATTCTACACACAACTGGCTCTCCCTGTTACTAGAAAAGAAAAATGAGAAAACATCAAAATAGCTAAGAGTCAAAACAGAAAAATCACCAAATCCTAGTGCACACTCTGCCAGGAGGCTGCCACCCCACCTCACTCAGCCACGAGGAGAAGGGCAGCTGGCAAAGGCGCCTGAGGGCTATTTGGGAACATCGCCACCACCAGCACTCAACCCACCCTGCATCTGACACATTGAGAAGTGTCCGCAGGTCAGAGCACAGGTCACTGGAAAAGGTTAAAGTGTGCCTGTTTGAAAGTCTGTGAATATGTTACATTTCCTGGAAGAAGGAGCTAGTCATACTGATTAAGTTAAGAATTGAAATGACATTGTCTTGGATTTCCCAAGCAGAGCCATTTTCACTCACAAAGATCTGATTCAGTGAAAGCAGCAGTGAGGAGAGTCAGAGAAGGTGCTGTGATGACAGAAGCGGAGCTCAGAGTGAGGTGGCCCTCAGCCCAGGAGTGTGGGTCACCTCTGGGGGCTGGAAAAGGTGAGGAAATGGATTCTCTGCTAAAGCCAGAGGAACCCAGTCCTGCCAACCCATAGTAGACCTCTGGCCTCTGGAGATGTGAGACAATAAACTTGTGTTGTTTTAAGGCACTAAATGTGTGGTAAAGTATTTCAGTGGTCATAGGAACCTCATCCAAGGAGGCAGGGTCATTTTGTTTTATATATATATATACTAGAGGCCTAGTGCATGAAATTTGTGCACTGGTAGGGTCCCTAGTGGATGCCAGCAGGGTACTCTCTCCCCTCCCCCAACAACCCCACCCCCTGGTCAAACTCCTGGACGTATTCCAGGTTGTGCTGGAACACAGCAGTATTCCAGGTTGTGAGGGGACAATTTGCATGCTATGCTTTTATGATATAGGATTTCAATATATTTTTATCTATTTTAGAGAGGAAGGGAGAGCAAGAGGGAAAGATAGAAACATCTATAATGAGAGAGAATCATTGATTGGCTACCTCCTGTACACCACCTATTGGGGATCGAGCCTGCAAACCGGTCATGTATCCTAACCAGGAATCCAACCATGTCCTCCTGGTTTATAGGTTAAGGCTCAACCACTGAGCCACCGATGCTAGGCAAAGTAGGGACATTTTAAAAGGACAGATGAGATGGAAAGAACAAGCACAATTTAAAATTCATTCCTTCAGTGGGAGAGGGAAAAAAAAGGAGGAAAAGTGCTTTGCAACAATTAAGTGTTAAAAAGGAAAGGAAATGGTGGGGAGGGAATTTAGAGTTCTAAAAGACTAAAAAGAACTGAAAAATCTGAGAACTGAGAATATTTCTCCCTCTATTGAAACCAATCATACAGCATAAATCTGTATTAATATATGTGGATGATGCTATCCTGATGGAAGGGAGGTTCATTTACCTAGAAATGTTGTAAAACACCCCAGTACATTAAAATGACCAAAATGCTGTACATCCTCAAGCCAAGCCCATTGGCCAGGTCTGCAGTGGCCTGAACCACCAGACGCTGGGATAGGCTGTGGCATCCCAATGCAGGGGGTCACATGGGCATGCACTTTGCTCCAGCTCATCAACCTAGACAAGCCAAAAATCCATTTCCAGCCTCAGTGCTTAGCAGGTGTGCTGGGTCAGGCATGCTGAGAGCTGCAGGAAGTACTTAACAGCCATGGTCTGAGCCTCAGAAATGGACAGAAACTAAAATGCAAACCTAAGGTGGTCCAGACAAGATGCCAGAGACTCCCCTCACCTGCTCTTCCTGTTCACGACAACCCTGACCCCTAGAGATAGCAGCAGGGACAAGCATAGGAGGGCTGTGAGAGGTGGAAGGAAAGGCTCTGGCTCAGGACCTGAGGACTGGAGGAGGAACCCTGGCATTAGGCATCATAGGTTGCACTGTCCTAACTCCCAAGGTCAAGGAGGCAACTCAGGTGTGGCATTAGAAGACACAAAATGTTTGAAATCAGTAATCTAACTTTCCACCTCAGGAAACCAGAAAAGGAAGAATGAAACCAACACAAAGCAAATAGAATGAAAACATAGAGAAAGGATAAGTAATATCAATGGAATTGAAGACAGAGAACTAATGGAGAAAATCAATAAAAGAAAAAGTAAGTTCTTTGAAAAGATCAACACAATGCAAAACTTCTAGCAAGCTTGATAAAGAATAAAAAAGACATAACACATTTCCAATATCAGGAATGAAACACGATATCGCTACACATCGTATAGACATCAAAAGGATAATGAGGGAGTGTTATCACCAACTCTACAGTCAGACATTTGACAACTTCCTCAGAAAGCACAACCTACCCCAATTCGCTTAATAGGAAATGAATAATGTATATGTATAGCTCTAAATTATTAAGAAAGTTGAATTACAATGGACAATTCCCCCAAGGAATTTTCAAGGCCTACATAGTTTCACAGGAAGATTTTACCAAGTATTTATATTTGAATTGAAACTAATTTTGGAAAACTACAAACTCCTAACATGGGTGACAGAACAAGGATCTTAAAGGACTGAAATTTGCATGTAGGAATTGTTCAGTGAGCAGTTGTAATGATTGCTGTTTCACTGTCATAAATAGGGAACAACAGAGTCCCATGCTGGGACCATTCAATGCCACCTGGGTGAACGGGGTTAGAAAGAACTGGAGGAGGCAGGGGCTGACATGGCCGGTGAATGAGGTGACTGTCAGGTGAAGAAAGCAAGAGGCAGGACACTGTGACCAGGATGGTCTCCCTCCCTCCCTCTTTCTTTAATGTTTATTGATGTTAAAAGATCTATAAAGTATCTACCAAACTATTACTAGTGGTGACTATGGAGTGTGAGGTTTTGGGAGGGGAGCTCACTTCAAAATGCCACTTTCTATCTAAAGACTTCTAGGTTATTCAAAAATAAACATCAATTACTCCTTATAACAGTAAAAGTAAAGATAAAATTTAGTCAGAGCCGGGTCAGTTAAAGTGGGGGACTCACCAGAGGGTTCATCTGGGTCCTTCTGGTGAGCCGGGGCCTCCATGGTGACGGTTTTGGTGACGGCCGGCTGCCCATCGTGCTCCACCTGGCAGGTGAGCACCGCATCCTCCCTGTGGGCAGACAGATTCACGAGGAGCCAGCTCCTCCCGCTGAAGGTCCCATCCTTGTTCTCTACGAGGGTCGAGGCTGTTTCTGCTCGGGACGTGTTTCCGTTCTCCAGCCAGGTCAGCTGTAGGCGCTGGGGGTAGAAGTTCTTCACCAGGCAGGTGACGTTCTTCTGTTTCTCTGACACCGTGTCCTGGGTGACCTCCAGGGTGGGCGGAACTGAAACAGCACAGGGCACAGCTCTGACCTCATGGGACACAGACCACCCAGGGCGGCTCCAACCTGAGCTCCCCCACCACAGGGAGGGGATCTCAGAGGGCAGGTGCTCAGACACCCATGGTGCTCTTTCATAGGAATGAAATCACTAAGCACAGGAGCCTGCACACAGGTGCTCAGGGACCCAGCTCCTGTGAGAGTAATGTGACTAAAGTAATAAGCACAGCCTGGCGTGCAGTTGAAATATAACTGTAGAAAAATAAATGAAATCGCCAAGCACATAGGAGCTTGACTTATAGTAGGTGCTCAGTTATTGGAGTTGCTATTGGTAAAGTAGATAAAACTACCAAGTACAGTGGTGGGTGTTCACCTGACAGCTGCCATTAAACATGGTGAGGGACAGGCACATCCAGGTGCCTGGTGAAGGGAAGGATTGTCAGGAATTAGATTCCAGGAAAAAAACTCTGGAGCAAAGAGCAGGGGGAGGAGCAGGCTGGGAGGACAGGGGCCAGGAGTGGCTTGGGCTGGGTGTGAGGGGCACTACCTCGGATGGCCTCAGACAAGTTGGCAGTCCCACGAAGAGGAGGGTCCCCCTTTAGGGTGTCGTGGGCCACCTGGCAGATGACCTGGGAGCGAACGTCCCCCGGGGCCAGCAGCACCCTGGCTGTGCTGGAGACGCTGTAGGAAGGGCTGTCTCCGTCTGGGTCCACGGTGGTCTGGGGGGCTGGGAGCTCATTCCCATCCTTGAACCATTTCAGGGTGATGTCTCTGGGGGAGAAGCCGTGGGACTGGCAGGTGAAGCTCACTGTCTGCCCAGGCGGCGACCTGCCCGTGGGGCCCGATACCACAGGGCGAGAGGGTTTGGCTGTAGAAGAAACATAATGAACAATGAACATGACGGTGATTTTCACCCCGAACGACAAGCATGTGGCACTGTAAAACCTCATCATATACTGTGTGTTATCCTTCTATTAATGCTGGGAGGGCGTGTCATCATCCCGGTGTTGCAAAGGAGGACACTCATGCTCCCAGAGGTGAACTCTGAGTGAGGGGCAGGGCAGACAAGCAGTTCCAGGCCTGCGGTCAAAGTCCAACTTTTTTCCCTCCAGATGCTTTCCCACAGTCTGGGCCCAGGGACAGAGTTCCTGGTCAGTCTCATTTTTGTGCACTGGCTGTTCATAGCTGGTCCCCAATAGGGATATGCACTGGCTGTTCATAGCTGGTCCCCAATAGGGATATGCACTGGCTGTTCATAGCTGGTCCCCAATAGGGATATGCACTGGCTGTTCATAGCTGGTCCCCTACAGAGCTGTGAAAGGGGCGATGATTATCATCCTCATCAAGTGGGGAAACTGAGGACCTGGGGGAGACAGAGACCTGCCCAGAGCACACAGCCGTGGGATGACAATGCCGTGGCTCAGTGAGGGTCTGTCCTCTCAACAGGCTCACCTGAAACATTCTATAAAGGCAGATTGGATTATATCATCAGTATTTGATTAATCGGTGATCTTATTAGTATTATGTTATCGTACACAATTTCTCAGGTGAGGAGCTGGGCCCAGCCAAGTTAACTGGGTCATGACTCTGACATAACACCCTGATTTGGGGGTGCAACTCTGTGCTGGGTGATTCAGAAAGAGTACCTCAAATCCTCTCCACTCTCTTAAAAGGAGTCCATGGTCATCGTTGTTTTAGAGATGAGAAAACTAAACTGAGAGAAATGAAGGGACTGTCCCCTTGGCCACTACTGTCCCCATGGGTATTTCCTGGGGCCTCCCAGGTATTCACGTCCATCAGCAGCGCCAGTGCCCACCTTCAGGAGCCTGACCCTGACCGCCACCTGCTCCAGGGAGGAGTGCCCTCCAGTGCCCAGGCCGGGGCCCTGCAGCAATAAATGGGAGAATGGGCTCCTGACAGTGAGTCTAGAATATGAACTCCTGCTCACTGGGGCCGCAGGGCCCTCTAGGAAATGCCCCCTCCTCTCCCTCAGTCTGCAGAGACAGGGATGCTGCCCACGGTGGTGCTGGGGCTCAGCGACCCCTCTCTGCTCTGTCCAGGCCACTGAGGCAGGCGGCTCCTGCGGCTGCACAGTGAGGAAAACACCAGTAAGAAGGGAAAGGCCTCCTGGATGCCTCCATAGGAGAGCCATGTCCTGTAGGAATAGTTTCAGGCCATATCATGGGACTTTTGAGGACCTGTCTCAGCTCAGTCAAAAAGCTAGACTTGCCTCTCCCACAGGACTTTTAAAAAAATGTGTGTGTTTCTTTTCTGAAGAACATAGAAATACATGATTCTAAGAAAAGGATTGGAGCTCGGCCAGTGTCGCTCAGTGGTTGAGCATCAACACATGAACCAGGAGCTCACTGTAGATTCCTGGTCAGGGCACATGCCTGGAATGTGGGCTCCATCTCCAGTAGGGGGCGTGCAGGAGGCACCCAATCAATGATTCTCTGGCATCATTGATGTTTCTGTCTCTATATCCTTGTCCTTTCTTCTCTGAAATCAAGAAAATCAATTTTTTTTTTAAAAAAAAATTAATGAAACAGAACTTAAAAACAAAAGGTTGGAGCTTTCTCTACACTTTGACAAGCACAATGGGGTGTTGCAGAGAGCAGAGGCCTCTGACCTCTCCCACCTGCTGCTTTCTCAGCCAGGGCATCACCTGGGCACGTAGCTCAGGAAGGGGAAGGAGCTCTCTACCAGGAGGCAGCAGATCTGAGTGGTGACGGAGCCACTGACACCTGCGATGGCCTCGGCAAGGGACACACCATTGGGAATTTGTGTAATACCTGAAAATTCGGGATAAAACCACCTTCTTTGCCTGTGTCCAGAGGTTGTGGGGAGACTCCACTACCACCATGTCTAGGAGGGGAATTTGGCAATACCCACACAAATTAAAATGCACACACCCTGTGCCCTAGCAATGCCACTTCCCGTGAGCACCTCCCTCTTGAGTAGGGTGACCTATGGACCAGGGTATCCCGTGTGTCACTGTGTGAATAGCCCAAGACTGGGAACAACTCACATCCATTAACAGAAGACAGTGAATGAACAATGCTGTCTCCACAGGCTGGAGGGAGGCAGTGGTGAAGGAGGGGCAGCTCTAGCTGCTGATGTGGATGCTCGATTTGGGGCAATGTGGCTGAAGGTAGGGAGAGGTTCCCAGTCACCTTGGGGGTCAGTGTCTGAGTGTGAGGGGCATGTGAAGCTTTGGGAACGGGGGAAAATAAGAGTTGCTGGCTCCCTGTTCAATGATGTGCTGCAATGGGATTTATTCAGTGTCTGCATTCACCAGGCTTTTTGGTGAAAGAGCATCTGTCTTTGAAGCAGGAAAAAGCCAGTAAAATCAGATGGGGTTCTGGAACAATGACACTCACTGGCCATGTGACTTTGGACAAAGCCCCTGTCACCTTTTGACCTCAGGCATCCCTCTGTACTTGGGGAGTCAGGCTGGATGGTGTAAAGGTCCCTGTGTGCTCACAGTCCAAGATTCAGGATCCTGGGCCTCTGGTAAAACACCCTCAATGAGAACGGTGTTGCCTCAATGGGACCACCCCTAAGTCTTCCACATGGGGAGCCTCTACCGTGGGTGAGGGACATTCTGAGACGACCCAACTCTGCTTGGAGGCTTCATGACAATGACCGGGATTCTGGAATAAAGGGGGTCCCAGGCAGACCCACAGCGATCACCTACTTCTGGGCATCTCCTCCCAGTGGAGCTGTCAGAGTGAACAGTGAGTCTGAGCCTCTCAGGATTTCCTTCTCCTGTGATGTTTCTGAGGTTGAGATAAAGCAGCACTTTCCCTACTCCCTGCCCTCAGTGAGTTTCTCCCACTGGAGGGAAGAGAATGAGGCTTCGAGGGGAAGAGCTGTTGCCTGCTTTGTTCTGCAGCTGCCTCAGCTCCCAGCGCAGAGCCTGGCTCACAGCAGGTGCCCAGTGGGTGTCACTAAGGAGGAGCTTTGGCCACATTGAGGGGAGCACTCCCTGGAGGTGCGTGAGGTCTGGCCTTGTGATGGGCAAGTCACTCAGCCTCTCAGTTCCCTCATCCCTGCAACCAAGGGGCTGGAAAGGATTGAAAGGCCAGGGCTGGGGAGCCAGACAAGCAGAGGTTCCAAACTTTTCCCACCCCTGACCAGCCGTGGGGGCTGAGCAAATAGCATGATATCTCCCGGCCTCAGCTTCCCTGATCTGCAGACGGGGTGAAGTCAGACCATGAATCAGATCATGACTATAAGCACCCACCTCCGTACCTGACTCTTAGTTGTTGCTCAAAGATGGAAGTTGTTCTTACTGATTTGTTGTCACACATGAGGGACAAAGGATCCCCCTGTACTCACCACTCACGGTGAGCTGAGTGCCTGCCCCAGACTTGAACTCCGTGTCATCACCACCTCCTCTCCGGAACTTCACACAGTAGTAGGTCCCTGTGTCTGCTGGGGTGATGTTACTGATGCGGATGGAAAGATCCATGTTGTCTCTCCTGGTGACGTCTGCAACCCATGTTACCCGGGGGGAGGGGCCTCCTCTGAAACTGTAGATTAACTCCCGGCCTGGCCCTGTCCCTCTGAACCAGCTGATGGGCCCCACAGGGAGCAGGGAGGTCACGGTGCAGCTCAGAGTGGCCGTCTCTCCAGCTGCGACGGACACTGGCTTCTGAGGCTGAATCACCTGCAGCTCCTCACCTGCCCCTCCTGGAGGGAAGCACAGAGCAGGTGTTTATTCACCATCTGGGAGCCTGTGGGCTGGTCAGTATTTATCAACAACAGCTTTCATCGACCGAGTGCACACCCTGAGCGGGCCTTGAGCCCAGCACATTGCACGTGTCATACATGTAACCCTCACAACCAACCTGTAATGTGAGAGCCTATAACAATGAGGAAACTGAGGCACAGAGAGGTAATTTGATGTGGCAAAGAGAGGGTTTTACCCATCCAATGGGTCTGCTTGGTGCCAGCAATGGAGGGGGTGTGCTGGGCCTTTTCCTGCAACACTTGGCTGCCCAGCTGAGTGGTTGGCTCCTGGAGGTACCACCAGCAGCCCTAGGAATTCGTCTCTGCCGGAGACACTAAGCAGCCATGGCTGGTCGTCTGATAATGAGGCAGTTAGTGCAGAGAAACAGGACATCCCTTGGAATAACATTCATTTGCAGGGAACTGCAAAAGGGAAACCAGTTCTTGCAAAAGACTCATCTATTCCTTACCCAGTTTCATCTTTAACGTGTCCCGTTAAAGGGACTGGGTGGCACTTGCTGCTGAACTTGAGCTACAAGTTGGCATTGAGCCAGGTCTTGGTTCAACTTCAGAATGCCTTCTGAATATGAAAGAAAAGTTTATCTACAGGGAACGGGAAGCAATCAGAAGCTTCAGGGATGAATCTACTGAGCTGCATATGTTTTATGGGCACCGGCCCTAAAAGAAAGCTTCATAGAATCCATAGGTGCCTGACTAGGGTTTGAATTGCAATGGCTTGAATGTGATATGTCCCCATTAAACCTGGAGACTGTCCAGGTTTATAAAGAAACACGTTTGTGTCTGGATGGAGAAGGAAGAAGAGAATGGGTGTTTGAGGAGAGCCAAACAGATGAGCACCATCTGTGGCAGTAGCTCCTAGGAAACCCGATGCATCCAGAAATCAGATGCTTCATCTCAGGATGATCCTACGCCCCCAGAGGCAGGTGCTGTCCTTCCCTGCAGGACTTAGTATCACCTGCGGTTCCTGTGAGCCCTGCACAGCCTTCATTTGGGACTGTTTTTCTTCACAGAAGATGTTCTGATGGGAAATGCTACAAAGTCATGATAAGTAAGAAAGGGAAATAAAAACTGTAAGAAATAGCATTGCATAATAAAAACTGTAATAGTAAAAAAACAAATGCCTATTACTATCCAATTTCATTTCATAAAACAACTTGAAAAAGAAAAACACAACTTTCCCTACTGAGAGAGCATATTCCCAGTTCAAGAAAGCTTAGTGAAATATATGTTTACCTTTCTTCCTCCCCGGAATCACACTGAATTGACAGAAAAATGGAACAGGGTGGCGGAATCTTAGCTGACACAGGCATGGCTTATTTTATTTCACTTTGCTTTATTGCGCTTCACTTTATTTGCGCTTTCACAGGTGTTGGTGATTTTACAAATGGAAAGCAAGAAGACCATCCCCCACCAGGGAAGGCTGGGGTGTGGGTTGGGAGGGGAATGATTCACCAGGGAACCTGTATGCATTGTGCATAACCATGGACACAGGCAATAGAGTGGTGGGGCCTGGGAGGGGTGGGCTCCAGGTGAAGGGGGTCAATGGGGAAACACACACACACACACACACACACACACACACACACACACACACGGGACATCTGTAATACTTTCAACAATAAAGATACTTTTTAAAAAAGACCCTCCACCAGCAAAAAGATTAGGACTCATTTTATCACAGAAGTTTGGAACTGAGCCCGCAATATCTCTGAGGTAGGCCTTACATGCTTGTTGTAGAAACAAAGGGAAAATGAAAAGATGCCATAAGGAAGCATTTAAGTTGTCTTTCAGACATAACTACATCAGAGATAACGATTTCTAAAACATTTTCCTTGGAAAATGAATCCACTTTTTTATAACATGGGAACATACTATTCTGTAATTCTTTTCTCTGAGCTGCACAGCCGGTGTTAATAATCTTGTGGCATAACTTTCACTGGCTGTAAAGCGCTCTGTTGCGGGGCTAATGTCAGGTAGGATGCTTGGAGCAGAGGTAAGTGTGCAAACAGCTGAGGGAAGTAACCAAGGGCATTAATGGTCTCACCCAGCACCCAGCTCAGAGGTGTCACTGAGGACATGCTCCTGCCTCAGCCTCAGTTTGTTTTGCCTCAGGCCTGTCTCAGGGTCAGGAAGCTGCTGCTGTAACTGTCAGCTTCCCATCTTCACAGAATTGCATCCAAGAGTCAGGACAGGCCATTTCTCCTCTCCCATCTCAGATTTGTCAGGGAGGAGAGCATTTCCCGCAGCCAGGGCCAATTGCTGCCCAGACCCGGGGAAGAGCCTTTTATTCCTAGGCCCCCCCCCCCCGCCCCCTGCCCTCCCCAGATCTTTCCAGTGCCCTGAAGTTAGTTGCACAGAGGCCCATAGGGTCCTTTCTCCAGTCAGAGGCCTGGCTGGTCGCCTGCAACCCACGCAGTGCCCTGGTGCTGGGCGCCTGGAGGGCTGGGGAGCCCGCGCTGTCACAGCGGGTCGTGGCGACACACACACGCGTGCACACGCTCTCTGTCTCCGCGCACACGCTCTCTGTCTCCGCGCACAGTCACGGGCACTGAGTGTGGTGATCTCATGACCACAGCCCGAGTATTTTTCCGGAGTCCGACCTAGCAGCAGTTGTCTTCAGGGGACTCCATGTTTGGAATTTACAGTGAAAAGGAGGAAATTTTCGTAGAATTCCCTCTTGCTCTGTCCTTGTTAGGGAGGGGCTGGCAGTGGCCTTTGTCCTCTCCTCATGCAGGGCTCTCTTGTCCTATCTGGACCAAACAGATCTTTCTGAATTCTCCCTACCCCTGCGATTTTTCTTTAAAGATGGGAGGTTGGTTAATAGAGAGTCAGATGTAAGTGGCTTGAAGGGTAGACAAGAGAATTCTATTCTATAAGTACGCATTGCAAATTAAACATGTGAGGTGCCTTATTTGCTGTGCTGTTGGATATTGTAGAGACTCGTATATTTCTATCTGACAGGGATGATTTCCAGGGGAGGCGAATTTTGGGTAGTTTACAGACTGACTCTGCCTCCTGACTTTGGCGAAATATATCAAACTCTCCCACTAGTCTTTCCAAGACTGTCTTCTCTGCTAGGTTCTTGGGTTCAAAGGCATTTTGTGAATTACCTCCTGTTCAGCACCTAAGACTCAAAGCATCATCTGTTTTGTTGCTTCTGGTAACAGGTGCAGAGGATGGACCCACAGAGAAAACACTCAGATCCCTGACTTCATGTGTCAGGTAAAGCCCTGTCCTTGGCCTTCTGTGCAGCCCTGGGTGACACACCCATGCTTCCCTGGAGGCCCTGAAATTTCAGGGGCAAAAAGAAATCCAGGGGCAGGAAGAGAATGTTCTACCCTAAGGAGTGCTCACCTGGGAGGCCCAGCAGTAGAGTCAGCAGCAGGCAAGGAGGAGGGCGGGGCCAGGAGGCAGGGAAGGGCATCCTGGAGTCCTGAGGGGCCTGCTGTGTCCAAGTGTGTGCCCGGAGCACCCGGACTCTCTGCTCTGTGAGAGGAGTGAGGCCCCAGTTGTGTGATATAAGAGGAAGAGCCTAGGAAGGGGTGCAAGGCTGTGACACAGTAGCTAGCCTCTATATTCTAAATAGTTCCTGCCTTATATTCTAAATAGTTCCTGATTGTGAAATAGTCAGTCAGGGAAGCAACCACAGGGTGAGCAGTTACTCATCTTAGTTTTCAGAGGGACTTGGACAGGCCTCCAGGAGTAGTGCTCCCCCACATCCCCTCTGCCTGGGGCCTCTGCTCTCCATTGGCCCCTCAGCTCACCTGGGGTCTTAATGGTGATGCCCCCCTTGGGGGCCCAGGACAAGAAGGGTGTGCGGTGTGGGCTGTGTGCCAAACTCCCAGCCCAGGACCCTAGGATGTTGCCGGCTTATGACTACTCACTGGAGGAAGGGGGAGGGTTCACCAGAACCGGGTCAGCGTTGGGATGGAACCAGGTCCTTTTCTGAAAGACCTTCTATTCCAACCATTTACTGATGGGACTGGAAAAACTCCACCCAAATGCACAGTGTGGGGTGGACCTCAGAACTGGTATGTGTCTACTTGCAACAAAAGTCATAATATCTTCACATCTCTCTGGAAAGCACATATATTATATGACCACATTTATACACCCAGGGGATTATCTCAGAGAAATGCAACTTTTGTCCATACCAAACACTGTGAGCAAAATAAATCCTTCTTTAAGGATTTTCTCATTTAGCAAGTTTTAAATATACAACCCAGTATTGCTAACTGTAGTCACCATGTTGGATATTATATCCTCAAAACGATCACGGGGTTGGGGAGCTCCCCCCTGTCACACACAGAGTAGGGCTGATAAGGGAGTTGGGTCACCGCCCCCTGTCACACACAGAGCAGGACTGATCAGGGGTTGGGGCACTGTTGAGCAGCCTTAGCATAATATTAGCATATTACGCTTTGATTGGTTGAACAGATGACTGCACGACCAGACACTTAGCATATGAGGCTTTTATTATATAGGATTAGAGATATCTCCCATTTCCTTTCCTTTACCCCCCTTCTCCCAACACCGTCCCCCCTTCTGACCAGGTCTTCACTACTCTATTGCCGGTTCCATGGATCAGGTATATCCTCCTATCTAATAATAGACAAACATGGTAATTAACCGTACCTCTGACACGCTTTCCATTGGCTAATCAGGGCGATTTGCAAATTAACTGCCAACTAAGATGGTGGCCGGCAGCCAGGCAGTTGAAACGAACAGGAGGCTTGCTTGCTCCAGTGAAGGAGGAAGCCAAGATTCCCCACCTGACGCTGCTGGGCTCTGAGCTTGCACTCTAAGCAACTATGTTGCAATTATAGAAGCTAAACAAAACTCATGCTTTCAGCCAGCTGGCTGGAGTTGCAACAGTGTTTCAATTATGGATGCTAAACAAAGCCCAGATTCCTAATTTCAGCAGCCGAGGTCTCAGAGCTGGAGCCGAGTCTCAGAGCTGGAGCCGAGCCTCAGAGCTAAAGCCGGCTCTCAGTTCCAGTGACAGCCATAGAAGGTAAATAAATCCCAGAATAAAAAAAATAAAAAGGAGAGGTTGGGAGCTTCAGTCACCCGCCAGCCTGAAAACGGCCCTCAGCCCCTCACCCAGACTGGCCAGGCACCCCAGTGGGGACCCCCACCCTGAAGGGTGTGTGACCAGCTGCAAACAGCCATCATCCCCTCATTCAGGCTGGCCAGGCACCCAAGCGGGACCCCCCTCCCCCCACCCTGATCCAGAACACTCTTCAGGGCAAACCAGCCGGCCCCCACCCGTGCACCAGGCCTCTATCCTATATAGTAAAAGGTTAATATGTCTCCCAGCACTGGGATCAGCGGAGCAGCGAGGCCTCTGGGCACCGGAATCAGCGGAGCCGCAAGGCCTCCTGACCCCTGGAGCAGCGTGACAGGGGGCAGCGCCCAAACCCCCTGATCGCCCTGCAGCTTTGTGTGTGACAGGGGGCGGGGCCACAACCTCCCTATCCGCCCTGCTCTGTTCGTGACAGGGGAAGGCACCCCAACCCCCTGATTGGCCCTGCTCTGTGCCTGATAGGGGGGAGTTCCCCAACCCCCTGATAGGCCCTGCGACGGGGTGGAGCCGCAACCTCCCCATCGGCCCTGCCCTGAGTGTGACAGAGGGGAGTTCCCCAACCCCCTGATCAGCCCTGCTCTGTGTGTGACAGGGGGCGGTGACCCAACTCCCTTATCGGCCCTGCTCTGTGTGTGACGGGGGGATCTTCCCAACCCCCTGATCGGCCCTGCTCTGTCTGTGACAGGGTACGGAGCCCCAACCCCCCTGATGGGCGCTGCTCTGTGCATGACAGGGGGCAGCACCCCAACCCCCTGATGGGCCCTGCTCTGTGCGTGACAGGGGGTGGCGCCGCAACCTCCCCATCAACCCTGCCTTGAGTGTGACAGGGTGTGGCGCCCCAATCCCCCAATCAGCTCTACCCTGAGCGTGACTGGGGGTGGCATTGCAACCTCCCGATCCACCCTACTCTGTGCATGACAGGTGGTGGTGCCCCAACTCCCCAATCGGCCCTGCTCTGAGCCTGACCAGGGGCTGCACCTAGGGATTCGGCCTGCCCTCTGCCACCTGGGAGCGGGCCTAAGCCAGCAGGTTGTTATCTCCTGCGGGGTCCCAGACTGTGAGAGGGCACAAGTGGGGCTGAGGGACAACCCCCCCACCCCCGCCAGTGCACAAATTTTTGTACACCGGGCCTCTAGTCCTATCTAAGAATAGACAAACATGGTAATTAACTGTACCTTCGACATGCTTCCCATTGGCTAATCAGGGTGATATGCAAATTAACTGCCAACCAAGATGGCAGTTAACCGCCAACAAAGATGGCGGCTAATTTGCATACTACAGGCAGGGCTGGACAGTGCCATCCCACCTGCCCCGCTGCCATCCGGGCCTGCTATCTGCGGCCCGGGTGGCAGGCAGTCAGATGGGACCCGATCCTGCGCTGGCTGGAGGGACCACAGTGATCTGCCACCAGACATGCCCACAAATGGCCCTCCAGCAGGGATACCTGGCTGGCGGGTGCTAATGCACCAATCAACAACTGGCCACTCCCACAAACGGCCCGCCGGGGGATCCTGGGTTGGCAGGTGCTAATGCACCGATCTGCCAATGGCCGCGCCCACAAAGGGCCTTCCTGTGGGGATCCATGGCTGGCAGGTGCTAATGCACTGATCAGCCACTGGCTGCACCTACAAATGGCCTTCCCTTGGGGATCCCGGGTTGGCGGTGCTAATGCACCGATCTGTCAACACGCACACCTGGGCCGCCTTTTCCCTGCGCATACTGTGCAGCTGGGTGAAGGGAGTGGGGCCACTGGGAGCAGGGTGGGAACTGCCCAGGGTTTGTGTCAGGCAGCCAAGAGCACAGTGCAAACTATGCAAATTAACTGCCAACCAAGATGGTTTAGGCCAGACATCCCTCTCACAATCTGGACCACTGGCTCCTAACCACTTGCCTGCCAGCCTGATCGCCCCTAACTGCTACCTTGCTGGTTTGATTGCCCCTAATCATCTCTGCATTGGCCCAGCACCCAGCACCCAGGATTCCCTCCTCCAGCTGGCTGCAGGCACCCAGGACCAGGGATTCCCTCCCTCTGGCTGGCCACAGGCACCCAGGATCCAGGACAGCATCTCTTGGGCCAGATGCAGCCACAGGGGACGGTGGGCAGGTGCCTTCACCCCGGCTACAGACGCAGGTGCCCAGGCCTGTGGGGCAGGTGGCTTCTCTGGCTGGCTACAGCCCAGGACCACAGGGTGGGTGGCTTCTCTGTCTCCCAGGCTGCAGCCAGCCGCAGGCACTGGCACCCTGGACCTCGGGGCGGGCGGCTTCTCTGTTTCCGGGCTGTAGCCAGCCTCGGGCACTGGCTCTTGTCTCCTCTGGGGATGTGGTGTGGGCGGCTACTCTGATTGGCTGCAGCCTGGGACCTCCGGGCAGGGGGCTTCTTCATCTCCCAGGCCATAGCCAGCTGCAGGCGCTGGCGCCCGGGACCATGCCACAGGCAGCTTCTCAGGCTGACTGCGACCCAGGACCACAGGGCAGGTGGCTTCTTGGTCTCCTGGGCCACAGCCAGCCTCAGGCGCTGGTGCCCGGACCTCAGGCGGGCGGCTTCTCCTTCTCCCCCAGGACCATGGGGTGGGTAGCTTCTCCAGCTGGCTGTGGCCCGGGACTGTGGGGTGGGCGGCTTCTCCATCTCCTGGGCTGCAGCCAGCAAAAGGCATTGGTACCAGGGGCTGCTGGAGGGCAGCTTCACCCTGCTGGCTTTGTCAGGAAGGATGTCCAGATGGTCTTCTGGAATACCCCCGGTCTAATTAGCATGTTACTCTTTTATTAGTATAGATGATACTTCATTGTATATCTGTACCACATCTTTTTAATCCATTCACTTATTGATGGAAAGTTTTACTCATTTTACCAAGAGAGAAGCTTGCTTATCTTAAGAGTTTGGTGGAGGGTATGGGGTGAGTTTGGAGAAGTAGAAAGGAGGGAGGGTGTCTGAAGAAAGAGAGAACTAAACATCTGTACATGTGCATTTCCTGTGAACTGAAAAGGATTGAAGAGAAAAAGGGAAAGGATTTTCTAAAATTTTGTGTCTCTGTGTGGGGAGTGTGTCTGTGTGTGTATGCAGTCCTTCACATGGACTACATGCACACACCCCACACACATAGAAACACGCATCACAAGTATATATAGAAATGTGGCCTCGCATGACAGGACACAGATTGTTTTGAAGATTGATGAAATTAGACACATATTAAAAGCTCAGTAAAATATTTGGCACATTAGAAACATGCAACATATAATTATCAAACGTTTGCAAATACAAATAGTGGAAATTGAACTCAGTGTCTCTGAGTGTCTCAATAGTAGATGACTATTTTTCAGTTTACTTCTGTGGGTTTTTTGATTTTTCTGCTAACAGGCTCTGCTGCCAAGCCAAGCAGCATACTATGGTTAAAAGAATGAACTCTGGGCCCTCGCTGGTTTG